TGATCTTGGACAAAGCATGCAAAAACATAAATTAGGGACAAGATAGTCAAATAAATAGTGCTGGGAAAACTGGCAAGTCATATGTATAAGAATGAAAATGATTTCTCCGCTTATACCAAAATCAACTCACCATGAATCAAAGACTTAAATCTAAGACCTGAAGCCATAAAAATTCTAGAAGATAACACTGGAAAAATGTTTCTAGACATTGGCTTAGGCAAAGAATTCATGACTATGACCCCAAAAGCAAATGCAACAAAAATAAAGATAAATAAATGGGACCTAATTAAACTAAAAAGCTTCTGCACAGCAAAAGAAATAATCATCCAAGTAAACAGACAACCCACAGAGTGGGAGAAAATATTTGCAAACTACATATATGACAAAGGACTAATATCCATAATCTACAAGGAACTCAAATCAGCAAGAAAAATAAAACAATCCCATCAAAAAGTGGACAAAGGACTTGAATACACAAGTCTCAAAAGAAGATGTACAAACAATCAACAAACATGTAAAAATGTTCAACATAACGAATTGTCAGGAAAATGCAAATTAAAACCACAGTGAGATACCATTTTACTCCTGCAAGAATGATCATAATTAAAAAGTCAAAAACCAATAGATGTTGGCATGGATGTAGTGAAAAGGGAACACAGACTGCTGGTGGGAATGTAAACTAGTACAACCTCTACGAAAAATGATATAGAGACTCCACAAAGAAATAAAAGCAGAAGTACCGTTCAATCCAGCAATCCCACTGCTGGGTGTCTACCCAAAGGAAAATAAATCATTACATAAAAAGGACACATGCACACCCATGTTTATAGCAGTATGATTTGCAATTGCAAAGATATAGAACCAACCTAAGTGTCCATCAACCAATGAGTAGATAAAGAAAATGTGGTATATATACACCATGGAATACTACTCTGCCATAGAAATGAATGAAATAATGTCCTTTGCAGCATCCTGGGTAACAATGAAGGGCATTATTTTAAGTGAAGTAACTCAGAAGTGGAAAACCAAGTATCATATGTTCTTACCTGTAAGTGGGAGCTAAGCTATAAGGATGCAAAGGCATAAGAATGATATAACAGACTTGGGGACTTGTAGGGGAAGGTTGGGAGCAGGTAAGAGATAAAAGACTACATATTGAGTGCAGCGTACACTGCTAGGGTGACAGGTGCACTAAAATCTCAGAAATCAACCACTAAAGAACTTATCCCCAAAACCCACCTGTACCACAAAAACTACTGAAATAAAAATAAAAATAATTTAAGAATTTAAAAGACATACAAGTAGTCAACAGATAAAAGAAAAAATGCTCAACATCACTAATCAGGAAAATGCAAATTGAAACCGCAGTAAGATATTAACTTACCTAAGTTAAAATAGTTATATATATATATTTTTTGTTTGTCTGTTTGTTTGTTTGTTTTTGTTTTTTTTTGAGACAGAGTCTTGCTCTGTTGCCTAGGCTGGAGCGCAGTTGAACTCCCACCTCTATCTCTGCTTCCTCACTGCCACTTCCAACTCTCGGGTTCAAGCAATTCTTCTGCCTCAGCTTCCTGAGTAGCTGGGATTACAGGCATGCACCATCACGTCTGACTAATTTTTTTATTTTTAGCAGAGACAGGGTTTCGCTATGTCGGCCAGGCTGGTCTCGAACTCCTGATCTCAGGCAATCCACCCAAAGTACTGGGATTACAGGCATGAGCCACTATGCCCGGCCTAAAATGGCTATTTTTTAAAAGACAAAAAATAACATGCTGGTGAGGATGCAGAGAAAAAGGAACTCTGTACACTGTTGGTAGAAATATAATTTAATACAATCAGTATGGAAATTTTTTAAAAAACTAGAAATAGAACTACCATAGGCTACCACAATTCCACTACTGGGTATTTATCCAAAGGAAAAAAATTAGATATAAAAGAGATGCCTGCACTTGCATGTTACTGCAGCCCTATTCACAATAACAAAGATTTGGAATCAACCTAAGTGTCCATTGATGGAAGAATGGATAAAGTCACCCCTCCTCCCCAAAAACACACACAATTTAATGGGATTATAGAAGCTTAAAAAGAAGCATAACATGCAGGTTTGTTTAGGTGTAAACCCATAGCTGACAATGTTCTTTAGTACTAGTTTCTACTGTGTTGTTAATATAAATATCCAATAAGCACAATTTATAAATTGAGACATATGGAAGTACAACAAAGAGCAAGTGTTTTTTTCAACTCAAATATCTTAATTCACCAAATTGTTTTTTGAATTCCTAGTGTGCAGCAGAACCATATTGAGTACTGGGGGTGAGAGAGGGGAGTCACAAAAGGAGGTCAGGCTTTTGCTGTTAAGGACCTTGTGACCTGGTTAGACACACATGCAGCACAGATGAAGGGACACAAAGAGATGCTGCTTACCTTGTAGTTGTCCCTGGAGAATGAGAACACAGACTAAAGCATGCGGTGAAGGTTTCCTTGTTGCACTGGGACCTATGCAGATTCTTTAGGGTTGGATGGGAACTAAATTGGTGGAAGAGGAATGGAAAAGAATTCCTGGCCATGGGACCATCATGGACAAGGCTTAGTCATTCAAGGGTGTGTGTGATGTGTTCAGGAACAAGTAGATCTATTTTTCTGAGGTAGGGATATGGAGGAGCTCAATGAAAATTGTTGGGAAATATCTAAAGAGGAACGATGCTAGAGGGCCAATGACACATGCAGATGAGTTTGTGCTTGAGCTGAAGCGTGACTGGGGATAATGGCAGGTTTTTGAGCTGTGGAGTAGTGAGACAGAAGTGATGGTTTCACAAGGTTTGTCTGATACAAATGGCCAGAAAAGAAGCTCCCCTCATAATCTTATTCTCCCACCCAGCACAAAAGATGGGCCGTTTACTTATCCCTGATTTACCCTGAGAAAATCCTGCTATTTTCCCTATCAACAATGAGAACCATTTATTGAATGCCTACTTTTTGCCAGAAGAAAAGCTCCAGCCTTCCTCACAATTCCAAAAGGTAGACAATAATCATCCTTGTTTGTATTAAAAGATACAGGTCAGAAGATTAAGTAATTTGCTCAAAGCCACATTTGAGGGTCAGATTTTTAACCCAGATCTTTCTGGTTCCAAAGACCACACATAATCTATTAATATTTTCCTCATCTGTACTTATCTAGCAAAGTGACCTATAGACTCTTTGCTATTAGGCTAAGAGTTAGCAAACTTTCCTACAAAAGGCCAGATAAATATGATATATATATCATATGTAAATATGAGACATATATATACACAGAGACATATACACACACATTTTTATTTTAGGCTGTGTAGGTCATATTGTCTCCATCACAACTTCTGTCATTGAAGTGTAAAAGCAGCCATAATATGTAAACCAATGAGTGTGGCTTTGTTTTAATAAAACACACAAATTTGAATTTCATATAATTTTCATATGTCAGAAATATTATTTTAAATTTTACTGTATGATCTATTTAATTTTTATTCTTTTCTAATGACCTAAAATATAAAAACAATTCTTAGTCATGTGCTATATGAAAACAGGCAGTGGCCATTCGACTTGTGGCCCATAGTATGCCAATCCCCATTTTAGGTTTATAGATTAGAACACTAAGCTAATGAGGCCACTGTTAAATGTCTTGTCTGCATAAAAGAGATTGCTGTATGCCGCCAAAAATCCTGTTTTGTCGGCAATATGCAATTGCCCTGTTTCTTGTCAAGTGTCTCGCAGATTTGTAGGGGATTACAAGGGCAGAGATAGTTCAGTGCAATCCAAACAATAGGAAAAACAATATATTTGCCCCTCTCACAAATGAAATGTCAAGAATATTTCTGCTATAATTTAGCTAAAATGTTCTAAAAATGTGTTAATTGTAGGTTTGGGATTCTAAAAATGCCTCCATGTGAAATGGCACAATGCCCTTTTCCTGTCATCTAATACGTTGTATAGGCACTCAGTAAATATTATAGCAGTCCGTGGTCAGGCTAGCACTTCTAGGTTTAGTTCCATATTAGCCTGCCTTTAATTCTTTAGATCCCTGATTCACTTACTTCATTTTCTTCACCCCTTAATCAGTAAACATTGCACATCTGTCATAAGTCCAGACTTATGCTGGCTGCTAGAAATTCAAAGCTGAACTCCAAAGTCCTTGCTAAAGGAACTCATGATGTGGGGAGAAGGGGTATGGATGCAGCAAACCACCATGGCATGTGTATACCCAGGTAACAATCCTGCACGATCTGCACATAAACCCCAGAACTTAAAGTATCATAAAAAAGAAAAAGAAAAAAAAGTAATAATCACATCATGGAAAATGGAGTACCCACCCCCTCAAGCATTTATCCTTTGTGTTACAAACAGTCTAATTATATTCTTTTTGTTATTTTCAAATGTACAATTAAATTATTATTGACTACAAAAAATAAAAATAAAAAAAGAAATAGCAATAACATCGAATATACTAAATGCCGCAGTACTGATATGTTTTGGTGCTGAGGAAACACGCACAGATGGGCTCTGCCTGCATGAACCAGAGAGTACCAAAGAACACTTTTAAAGAAGGGTGAGGTCTGATCCTTCCAAATCTGGAAGGATACATTCACTCATGATGCTCCCATTTAGGAATGAGAACAATACTAACTTATGCATGTTACATAAGAGACAAAGGCAAGGGAGGGCTGTGGAGAGCCATGAAACTGTGGTCTGATCTAGTGTTGTTGAACTTGATAGTAGCCAGTAAACAAACCACATGCAAGTCCTACATACAACACATTTGTATTTTATACACTATACTTATAGTGTATTTTATTTTCAACATTTCATAAAAAATATTGGGTAATAAAATTGAGCACAAAATTTGTAAATGGTAAGAGAACTCAAATTTTTTCCCCTTAAATCTCATTTGAAAATAATATAAGGGTACATATTTAATTTTTACTCCTATATCCAAATATTTTGGAAAAGTAGAAATGCATTCTCACCTGAAGGATTTTCCTAATTCTTTTTAGATTGTGTATCAAGAGTAGGTTTTTCTCTTTGGAAACACGACCTAACTGTTCATCCAGTTGTATTAACAAGTTTTGAAGAAGAATCGTTGCCATGGTTTCATTGTTAGAAGCTGCCTCCCTAAAAAAATAAAGGGTTATTACACAACAGAAACCAATTTGGTAAAATGTCTACTCTTTTACCATACTAATTTTAAAGCAATAAACCTTTACAAGGTGCTAAAATTTAAGAGTTAAAAAAAAATTAAATTGTAAACATGAAGAGATGTCAACGTCATTAAGCATTAGGGAATTTCAAGTCAAAATCACAGAAGATACCACTTCATACCCATGAGGATGGCTATTATTAAAAGGAAAAAAACAGAACATAAGTGTTGGTGAGGATATAGAGAAATTGTACAATGCTGGTGGGAAGGTAAAATGGTCAATCATTGTAGAAAACTGTATGGCAGATACCCAAAATATTAAACATAAAATTGTCATATGATCCAGCAATTCCACATCTGGGTATATATCCAAAAGAATTAAAAACAGGGCCTCAAACAGATATTTGCATACCAATGTTCCCAGCAGAGTTGCTAGCAATAGCCAAAAGGTTTAAACAACCCAAATGTCCATTGACAGATAAATTAATAAAGCAAAATGTGATATATACAAACAATAGAATATTATTCAGCTTCAAAAAGGCAGAAAATTCTGATGAATGAATTTTGAAAACATTACATTAAGCAAAATAATTCAGTTACAAAAGGACAAATATTGTCTGATTCCAATTATATAAAGTACCTAGAGTAGTCAAATTCATAGAGACAGACAATAGAATGGTGATTACCAGGGGTTGGCGATGGAGGACTAGGGAGTTGCTGTTTGAAGAGTATAGAGTTTCAGTTTGGAAAGATGAAAAAGTTCTGCAGATGGATGGTCATGATGGTTGCATAATAATGTGAATATATGTAATGCCACTGAACAGTACACCAAAAACAATGGTAAATTTTATGTCATGTATATTTTACCACGATAAAAAATATGGCTGAAGCAAAAAAATAAAATTTAATGGTATAAGGTGAATAGAGCTTTGAAGAAAGCAAATATTACTGTGAAAAAATATTGATTTACATTGAGTCTGCGATAGAGAACTGACAATCAATTGATTTGTTTCTTTTCTAAATACATGAAAAATTGTTTGGGTTTTGGTTTACAGAGAAACAAAGCACTAGAAGCATTAAGTTTTCATTTACGATGAATGAAACCAGAAAGGACAATGATTTCCCCTTCTTCGGGAAGGCTTTTCAAATCCTTGAGAAAGTTCTTTACCTGAAAAGAATGCATCTACTGAGTCAAAAGTGGACCATAAAATAAATTCACATGGATGGTGCATAAAGCATTTGTGCATCAACTTCTAGGGAAAATACATTTGATCCTACCAGTCTTGATTTTCAATCCACTGGGCCAGCAGATGCCGAATTTCCATAGGAAAGTTGTCATCATAGAATTGATCCACCTGCTCCAAAAACTTGATTTCTAACTGTTGGACTTGATTCCACTGAGACATGCTCTAAAAGAAGGGGTAGAATTAGAGTTTTAAAATATTGTTCATAGCTCTAGTACATATTTTCTTATTTGGAATTCAGTCAATATTATGACTGATTTCAGTCATAATATTGACTGAATTCCAATATATCCAAAAATACAAACATTTCTCTAAGGTTTTTTTTTTTTTTTTGAGACGGAGTTTCGCTCTTGTTACCCAGGCTGGAGTGCAATGGCGCGATCTCGGCTCACCGCAACCTCCGCCTCCCGGGTTCAGGCAATTCTCCTGCCTCAGCCTCCCGAGCAGCTGGGATTACAGGCATGCACCACCATGCCCAGCTAATTTTCTGTGTTTTTAGTAGAGACGGGGTTTCACCATGTTGACCAGGATGGTCTCGATCTCTTGACCTTGTGATCCACCTGCCTCGGCCTCCCAAAGTGCTGGGATTACAGGCGTGAGCCACCGCGCCCGGCTAGGTTTTTTTTTTCATAATCCAACCCTAATGAAGGGACCAGCCTTCTTTCTGTGCCCCCAAACTACAGCCTTCCTTGCTCTAACATGAACTCCTGTTCCACCTGCTCCAGGAAGCTTTCACTCCTGCTCCCCCAAACACCCCACATCCTGCCCACAGCTGTCTACATGAACTTGTATTCTCAACAAGCCCTTTCCCTATCTCTTGTCCCCTCTACACTTAGACTTGGAGTAACTTGAAGGCAAACATATTTAACATTTACTATACCTTCTAAAGTCCTCTAAGACTTTATATATGAGGAACAACCTCCCAAAAAGCTTCTTTTATATAAATTTGTCAAATTTCTTTATTTCAGATTTGTCTGGCTTCTAAAGTCAGATTTATGTTCCCGACTTCTAGTCCAATTCTGTCTTAGCTTCATTAAGAATTTTATGTATGCATTTTCATAGGCTCTAGTTTAATTAAAAATATTTCTGAACCAATGAATGTGTTTTATTTCTCTCTATGAGGATCCACTATGGGTGGGCAAAGCTCTTAAAAGATGCAGTCTTTTTGTCTCTGAGAAACATCTGATAGTGGTTAAACCCTCGATACTTAAGGAGTAAGAAACCACACTTGATACCTATTTGGCAGCCTGTCATAAAACAAAAGTATGTATTTCCCCCTTGTAACCCCTCTCTGGCCAGTTTAGAAGCTGTAGACATATTTCCTAACTCAGGAAAATTAGTATGACGCTGCCTCCTTGAAATTACAGCATTTTACGTTTTCCAAAGTCAAACTTTTTATTGTTTCATCAGCAATTCTAAGTCAAATAAAAACACCAAACCCTCTTTTACATGATTAATCACCATAACATTTCAACATATCTTATAGACAGGCTAAGGTTTCCTTTCGCCTATAGAACACCAGGAGAATTTCATATATTTCATATACATATTCTTCAGGTTTCAAATAGAATCATTTTGAGCACCTGTCCCCTGAGCACCCGGTAAATGATTTAAAATTTATAGAAAAACCTGTTGCCAACGTTTTGCTAAAGAGAAAGCAAGTGGGAAAATAAGTAATGTTTTATTTGCATATCACTATATATTTATGAAAACCTTTATACTTTACAATTCTAGGCACATTGTAAATGCTCAATCATGGCTTGTTAAATGAAGAATGAGTGGCACTCTTGATGTTGCTATGAATAGGGTAGGTGGATATAAGTAGTGTGTCAACTTTAAAAAGAAAAAAACTTAAAGCTCAAATAGGTGCAATGATGCCTGCCTAATGTGTGAGGCTTCTAAGGGGCCGCCCGAGGTTTCCTGAGCCTGAACCATTTGTCTTTCCAGATACTCGACGTCTAAATATGCCACACAAAATTGGAACATTTGTTCCCATGCTACTATCAACATTATCCTACCAGTTTTAGTTAATGACAACAGAGAACGTGAGCTGTAAATAGCATTACAATTTTTTGTCATACTACTGTTGAATCCCAGCTATGATTTGGATGAAAATCTGTTTTCTAACTAAAATTTACAGGTAGATGGGAGGAATAAGCTGTGGTGCTGTAACACTAGGATGAATACGGTTAACAATAACTTAGTGTATGTTTTCAAAAAGCTAAAATAGAGGATTTTGAATGTTCACAACATAAAGAAGCGATAAATGTTTGAGGTGATGGATATACTGATTATCCTTTGATCATAACACATTGTATATATGTATTGAAATATCACTCTATACTCCATAAATATTTACAGTTGTGTGTCTAATAAAAATAAAAGAAAAAATTTTAAAAATAAAAATAAGCACCAAATAAAAAAGACTGCTAAGATCTGAGTATTCAGCGGAGAGCTGAATTCAAAGCTGATAAAAGGAAGAAGAATGAACACCTAGTCCTAGGACATTCTCTATCGCAGCCTCTGGGAACGCCTTTAGGCATCCTTCAGCAGATTTCTTTGCCTTCACTCTCTAAGTGCTACTTTTTTCTTGTGGGAACTGTACGTTGCCTCTGAAAACTGAGTGCCTGTCTGTTCTTTTTGCCTGCAGTCCGTAGAAGATCCTCTAAAGGGGCATTTTGTCCCACCGTCTGGGAGCTGGTGGTGCCGCGTTGGCTCTGTGGCCTGTAGCTTGCAAAGGGAGATGACCTGCCCTAAAATGTCACTCGTGCTCATCAAAGCCACAGTCACAGGCAGCCGTAGCTGCAAACTTTTTTTTCCTGAAACCCAGGTAAGCCAATCTAAAGTCAGACAACACAGCTCTAGAGAAGCTGCCTGAGAAAGTGAAGAGGGGCTCACTTCCAGCCTCTGCGAGGACACACCTCCGCAGCCGGCGCAGCTCCCCCGGCCCCTCTGGGAGATTCGCCCGGGCACCGTGGCGCGGGCCCGCGGGGCGGTCTCCGCGGAGAACCTGTGCCAGGGCGCATCTGTGGGCCGTGGAGTCGGGCGCTTCTTTGTATCATAACCCCTCCTCAGGCAGGTTAAAGCGAAGCCACTGTCAACATGCCCAGGGAAAGCAAAGCTTCAGAGCGTCCTGCGTAACAAGCGTGTCCTCCTCTGGAGAGGCAGCCAGAAGGTGTGGTCCGGCCACTTACCTAGAGCTCTCTCAGCACAGGTCCCAGGCGGTGCTCAAGTCCAAAGTCAGAAGCGCCCCTCACAGTCCCTAAGAGAAAGCCGCTGACGCCATCGTCAGTAGGGGATTTGCATTTCTCCTCCCACTTGAGGCTTTCCTGTGCGTCAGTGTTCGAGTCTCTGGGACTTTACTTGGGTCAGTTCCCACCCACTCTTTATTCTAGAAACGCTGACACGTAGAATCAGCCAGGCTGGAGCCCCTTCGCCGGGCATCCTCTTCCCTCTTATCCCTGCCAGCCTCTCCCGCCAACAGCAGGTGGCTCAGGAGTGCCAGAAGAAAGGGGAGGGGCGGGGCACACATTTTTCTTCAGTGGTTTCCTTAGACAATTCGAGATCCGCTGCAGTTACTTACCTGGAGCTCAGTTCTTGAGCTTCCTCTGTCCTTAGTTTAATACTCCACTCAGCCTGGTGAGCCAGTCCCTGGGGTGGAAGGGGTGGGTAGCCAGGATCGAAACACCAAACTCATAGACTTTACTGGGCTCCAATTCCAGCGGGGTCCGCTCACTTGGAGGAGGGTGACCTGATCTAGAGGTTTAGGCCAACTTCTGGGTAGGCCACCAGTGCCCGCCCTTCCTGGCCCAGCCTCCTCTACTCTCCCTGAGCAGCCCTGCTCCTGGTTGCTACGGTGCACTCTTCTCCCTTTTTGACATCAGCCTGTTCTAGAATCATAGAGTTGGAGGAAGTCTTAGTCCCATCTAATGCTAAACCCTCTTTTGTATCTGAAGAGGCCCAGTGAGGTCACCAAGATGACTCAGTAAGTTATCCACGGAGCCACCCAAGAGCCCAGGTGTTTCCCTTCCCACCTCTGGTCTTTTCATCTCATCTCCTTGTAGCTAGATGTTAACCCCTTGATTCACAGTAGGGGTCCTATAAACGTTCAATAAAATCAAGACAAGGCCAGGTGTGGTGGCTCACACTGTAATCTCAGCACTTTGGGAGGCTGAGGTGGGAGGACTATTTGAGCCCAGGAGTTTGAGACCAGCCTAGGCAACACAGTAAAAACTCCACCGTATTTTAAAAAATTAATAAAAATGTTTAAAAAAGTAAAAGTAGTAAAATAAAGACAAAAATAAAGGCCGACAGGCAGACTGAAAGAAAGTGCCACTCAATTTGATTATACACATACTTAGAGTGATATTCCAAGGTGAAAGGCCTGCCCCCCCCCCCCACCCTCGCTGACCAATATCACACAGGTGCACTCTGGATTCTTCCCTCCTGGGTGACGTCATTATCATGTGCTTAAACTTACCACCCATCCCCAAACAGGTCAATCAACCCAAAGTCACACTTTCCATCGCTCTAAATTTCCTGGTTAAGTAGGCCTGGTCCCCACTGCTTGTTCAGTGGGCAGTTTCCAGAAGCTTGTGCTGCTCTGACCCTACATGAGGAAGCGCCAACTTCAGGCTATTCCATAAGCTACTGAGCAAAGTCTGATTCTCTTCTGGGGAAGCTGTCACTGCCTATAGGAAAAAATCCAAATTCTTGGCACTTTAAGTTTTGTGCAGTTTGGCCTCAACCTACCTAGGAAATTTTTCTCCCCTATAAGAGCCCATGATGTGACCCAAAACAGTCACCTCAGCTGCCCAGATTCACCTGAGACTTCACTACTGACGCTTTCTGCAACTGGATAGTCCTCCCCCAGCCTACCTACTTAGTGAAATCCCATAGCTCTCGGTGAAGACTTCCTGATGACCTGAACCCACAGCAGTGTTTCCCTGCTCCACATTCTTGTAATACTTCCTGCCCAAACCAGTGTACTCCAAGAGAAATAAAATGCAAGCCACATATGTAATTGTATATTTTCTGATAGCCACATCAAAAAGGAAAAAAGCACAGGTGAAATTAATTTTAATATTGTAAATTACCCAAAATATACAAAGATCTTAACATTGTGGCATATAATCCACATAAAAATTATTAATAAGGTACTTTGCCTTCCTTATTTCATACTCAATCTCAGAAGTCTGCTGTGTATTTAGCACTAGCAGGGCGTGTCAGTTAGGACTAGCCACATTCCAAGCCACATGTGGCCAGTGGCTACCATGTAGGACAGTGCACATCTAGACCACTCATTTAGCACTTTTCACTTCCTGCCTCATAGTGTTAGTCACACTGGTTTTAAACGTCCTTATCATTATCGTATTCAATTGTTGAGTGCCTGCTGTACAAAACAGAGAGTTTGTTTTCTTTCTCCTTTTCAGGGCCTTACCTTGGGACTCCCACAGCAGTTCTTAAACTGTTTGTTCTCAAGACACCATTATTCCCTTAAAAATTGTTGACAACCCCAAAGAATGTTTGTGTATTACTGTTCTGGATGATATTTTTATTTACTGTGTTAAATCTGAGAAAAAATTAAAATATTTATTTAATTTATTCCTTTAAAGTGACAATCATAACCCCACTATGTGTTAAACCTGTTTTAAGAAAAGTGTATCTTCCAACACAGAAAACTTAATAAGAAGTGTGGCATTTAAAAAATCTCTTTAATGTCTGGTTTAAGTGAAGACAGCTGGATTCCCATATCTGTTTCTGCATTTAATCTGCTGCAAAGTATTATTTTGTTGACATATTTAAAGAAAGTATGGACTCACACATTGATGTAGTTGGAAAGGGGAGTATTATAATGACCTTATCAAATAGTGTGATTATTCTTCTTTGATACCGCACGAAAACTTAGCGAGTGGTAGTTTCTGAAGGGCTAGTTGCATTGTGAAATCTGAAACCTTATCAATATACTCTGTGTATACTGTTACATTCAAATCCTTTGTTTTGTCTATTTTGAATGAAACTATTACCCACAAATTATTTCGAAATGTCAGACACTGGTCATTTGAAAAATATTGGTCCACTGAAGTATGCAGATTTTCTAAATGCTGACACATTTCATCATACAATATTCAGAAATTCACGTCAGGTAATATCAATGTTGATCTCATCATATAAGTATTTTAAGTACTGGGAAACTATCAAGCTCATGATGATGCATACAAGCTCTCCAAATTCTCATTTTTGCTCGAAAGCTCCAGTTTTATTATTGGCAACAGATACTGCCAGTTGTTTTCCTTAAAGAGACAGGCTCATCTTGGAAACTCAATCACATAAGTGCTTTTCCTTGAGATGACCATCATCTTTTAACATGTGTCTTTTCCACTTCATTAAAAAGAATATTAAAAAGACATGTATTTAATATCTGAGATTCAATAAAATTAATAATTTTTACTGCTCCATCAAAAACATTATTAAGTCAAACTGGCATTTAAAAAATTTTACTGTAAGTGCATGGTGGTGAAAGATACAACTCCTAGTATAATTTGGCACCACTTCCTTGCTTTGTGCTAAAGCACCATTGCTTTGGTACCTTTGGTGCAAATGTCAACAGAGTGAAAAGACAAAATTGTATTAGTATTATTATAAAATTAGTATAACCTTGCAGATGCCCTACAAAGATGCTGGGGACCATTCCCAGGGATCCGCATATAACATGTAGAGAATCTCTGCTCTATTTGCCATATGCTGCCCGCTGTAACTCGTTTATCCAGAGATGTCTATCATGAGGGACTCTGCACAAATACACACCTTTTTCTTGGTTAAAGCATCTGCCTTGAACCTCTGTCTTCCTCCTCTATTTCATGAGCAGAGCAAGACATCTAGGAAAGGGCACTGCTATGTCCACTTTGATTCTCTTTCTTAGAATCAAAATTAAATAAGCAGGTCCTCAATTTCTTGGCCCTACACTGTCCCTGCCCTCTTCAGTCCCTCAGAGACAAAGATATAAAACAATTCAAAGGTCGGGCATGGTGGCTTACGCCTGTAATCCCAGCACTTTGGGAGGCTGAGGAAGGTGGATCACCTGAGGTCAGGAGTTCGAGACCAGCCTGACTGAAATGGAGAAACTCCGTCTCTACTAAAAATACAAAAATTAGCTGGGCCTGGTGGTGCATGCCTATAATCCCAGCTACTTGGGAGGCTGAAGCAGCAGAATTGCTTGAACCCGGAAGGCGGAGGTTGCAGTGAGCCGATATCATGCCAATACACTCCGGCCTTGGCAGCAAGAGCAAAACTCCATCTCAAAACAAAACAAAACAAAACAACAACCACCACAAAAAATCAAAGTAAAATGAAGAAACAAACCAAATGCTAAAATGAAACCCCGTAAGGTTCTCCAAATTCAAAGGCCCCCACCGATTCCTGTCTCCTTTCTAAAACAGCCACCCCGTTGCCCCGGCGATAAGCCCTATATCTAATTTTTTGCTGCATCATCCTAAGAAGAAAATCCCAGATTAAAGATTTTCAGAAAAGTAGATTCTAGTTCTGGTGTGCCAATTTCTAGCGGCACAAAGTTGTATAAGTTACCTAACTTCTCTGAGCCCAAAACTCCCTGTCTACAAAAGTGGGGATATTACATCCCACGTGAAATTGCTCTGACGAGTCAGAGATACAGTGTAGGAAATGGCATCAGGTTAAATGCCGAATCAATAGCTGTTAATAGTAGAATAATGAACAAGTTACGAGGAACTTTGGCAGTCACCAGGTTAACCCTCCAGCTTCCCTTGGCTCCTTGCTGTACAGATTGGAAACGGAGATGAAGAGAGGCCAGTGGGATAGGCAGGTTCACAGTCGTAAATAGAAGACAGGGTGGATTCAAAGCCAGTTCTGACTGTGCTTTTCCCACTCTGCCCAGTGGAGCTGCTTTTGTGAGAAACAGAGAGGAAGACAAAACATATCACTCTTGCTGCTGTAGGGAAGTAAACCAGCTCCACCTTCTCCCAATTTTTGTACAAAGAATATAAACATTTGCTGATTTTCAGTTTCCTCTTAAGTGTCCTGAGGAAACTGGGGTGAGCAGGAGTTGGAGGTTGGACAGACAATACGTATTCACAGAAAGATGTGTTGAGTTCCCTGGTAACATACGTTAGCAACAAATAAGTGGGACTGTGAGGATTACTGGGGTAAGATGGCCTGGTGCAGATCTCATCAACTCATCGGTGTTCAGGTTGCTCTAGCTCCATCGG